CTCAGACACTTGATTATCAGTAAAATGGTATGCTCTCTTGCAAACGAAGACACTAAAAACCAAGAAATCAGAAGTGTTGTAATTTTGGTTTAAACAAATTTTAAAAATGGGTCTAGTTTGGGGCCGCAACGAGCATAAACTTGTCCTTTGCCTTTGCTGAATGCCAGTATAAGGGCCTTTACATTTATACCGTGAAGCTGTTACAACTTTTGATTAGTGACTCACCATGTGGCTCATGTGTTACATCAAATTTGAGAACCCAAAACTAAAAGAATATGAATATCACTCACAAATACCTACAAGTTTACTGTACCTAACGTCACCATGATGCCACTCTCTTGGCCAGATCTCTCCTAAAAAGGACATCCTTAATCTCAATGGAACTAATTGGCTAATAAAGGTTGAACAAACAGGCCCTCATCCTCCTCCTGTATTTGTAAAGAGAAATTCAGAGAGATAGCCTCCCAGTATAAAGTCATGCAAACAGGATCTCATTAGCAAATGCAAATGAGAAAACACCAAATCTTCACAGAGAGGCAGAAGTGTATCTCCGTGGGATAGCTGGAACATGACAGCTCACCAACCGCCCCCACGCTGAGCACCAAATGTGATGGTCCACTCCTGCTGCTACTCTTAACAGGATGTAGGACCAAACCATAAATGTAAGTGTAGGGGGGAGACAAGGAAGTGGGTCACTAGAGGCCTTCACCTTCTGCCATGTGAAGACCTGCTGTAAAAACTCTTGCTGTTGGCTATTAGTTTGTGGAAGAAGTGCCTCAGTGGGATTTGTTATATTAGTTATTTATAAAGGAGTTGTGCTGATGTGTACATTACTTTGCTTCATTAAAAAATGTATATTTCAAAGTACATCATTACACTCACAACACACATTTTTGCATTTATTAACAGACTTTTACAGTCTTCAAATGCCAGACTCTCTTGTTACTGAGCATGAAAAAGTTTTAATCTAAGCAAGAAAAACTTTGCATGACTCAAGTCTGTTTTTTATGCACTGGTAACTAATCAAGAAAAAGGAAGTAAAAAATGAGTTGTAAAATGTATTGTGAAATGAATTGTAAAATTTTTTTAACAAAACTTCGACAGTCCTCATCATATGCAAATTGCATCACAGGTAAGAACATATTTGTGGTTTGCTGCATGATCTGTGAAAGCAGCTGATCAGCTAGGAGGACAGAAAGCTGAGATCACATTCAATTAAAGTGATAATTAATTAGGTCTGTAAGTTGTGGAGAGGGCATTTCCCAGGAAGTGAGAAAGGCAAACGCTCAGAGCCAATCAGAGCTCTCGTCTGAGAGCGTGTCTGTCGTGACATCACAAGCTGCGGCGGGCAGAGTTCCTGGCATGGCTTCAGACCAACAGACCTTCTGCTGCCAGCAGGGTGGCAGTGGCCTAGGGCAGGCCGGCGATGGCCAGGTCACCAGCTTTTTCCTCCTGCCTGGCATGAGCACTGCGGGAGCGGTGGCCGGCAGGATGGCAAGATGTCAGAAACAGCCCTTTAGACGTGTCAAAAAGCAGGCACAGCTAGGGGAAGCTGCTCATCGAGCGTGACAGAAAGAGGAGTGAGGCCATTATAGAGACAGGCTGCCCAATAAACACGCGATAACCAAACAGCATTATGTGATGTGTAGTGGTTATCTTTAAACATATGTTTTTGGTAATGAGATAAACTGATTTAAAGATAGAAATTATGTGTTTATAGTCAAAAGTGAGGTAGAATGCAAACAAGGCAAATCCTGGGAAGTTAATTTTAAAGATTCCCCACCAAATATGGGCTTTGTAGACTATTCTTTTTGTCTTTATTTGTTCCAAGCAAAGGTTCAGTTACTTTGTTAAAAAAAAAAGTCTTATGGTATGTCTTCTCCATTTTCTCTTTAAAAAAAATCCAGAATTTATGAATATTCAAACTTTGTTCATTTTAAAAGTTAAACTGCTTGACACAAAGCATCTCCTACCTGACTGAAAAAAATTCAACTGTCAGTGTATGTACACTATAGGTTTCAAGTGTTCACATCACACCTACGTAAAGTTGTATATTTGAGCATCATTATCTCCACTCTTGTGATGTCACAAGATTATGCTTGTACATACATGTTAAAATCAGATTTAAAGGGGTAGCTTGGATTTTTTTTTTGAAGTGGTGCTGCATGAGGTATTTATCCACAAACAGTACATTACCCACAGTAGATGATGATCAGTGCGTCCTGAGTTTGGAGAAGCAGACAGGAGTACCACTACAGAAGCTAAGCAATGTACTGCTGTGGATGAGGGCAGCAGCAAAAGGACCAACCCAAAAAACAATATTGGTTTATGTGTATGCTATATTTAGAATATTTTCACTGCTTTACTTTGCCATCAGACAACCCTGTTCTACAGGGAACTGAAGCCATTTTTTCACTCTCTTCAAAGCCACCAGACTCCACTGACAAAAAGTCATTTTACCTTGCTAAATTCGGAGCTGCTGGTCTACCACTGCCTGGATTGATAGTTTTTTTGTGTTATTGTGTGACTCTGGTGGATCCAAACTAACCCTCTAAAACATCCCAGTTTGTCACCAACAAACAAACTAACTAAATGAGGCAGTGGTAGGCATGAGCTCCTATATTCTGTGAGGTAAAATGACTACTTTTGTCAATGGAGTGTGGCCTAGAAGAGAGCACAAATAAGTTTCACTTTCAGTTACCTGTTGGAAATGGCGTCTGATGGTAAGGTAAAACAGTGAAAATATGCTACATATGGCATACACTTAAACTGGTATTGGTTTATTTTTGAGTTGGTGTTTTTTAGGTGGCTAAACACATTTTGCTGCTGCCCTTGTCCACAGCAGTACAATGCTGAGCTTCCAGGATGGTACTCCTGCCTGCTTCTGAGGTGCACCGACTGGCATTTACTGTAGGTAATACTGACTATGGATGTGTCCCTCACACAACCCCACTTCAAAAAATCCAAATACCCTTCAAGGTAAGCACAGAGTAAATCCCCCTTCAGCAGATGAATGTAAAACAGCCTTCTGGTGTCAAACTTTGCACATACATCATTCTGCACCCAAGTGAAGTGGCAATACGTAAAGCACATTTCTGAGCAGAGGGGAGACTTAAAGCTATTTCTGAAGGAGGCTGAATGCAGAAATATTTAATGTGTCAGTGAGTGTGCCAGCCCCTGCATTGCTGGGACAAACAGAGGCTTATATAGAAACTGCTTTAGAAACTTTTCAACACTCCACACGTTCTCACTTCTGACTCACTGGTTTTACCATCAGCGCACGTGACCATATGTGTTTGTGTGTCAGGTGGATAGACTAAATAAAGAAAAAGAAAGCTTGAGAGAGAGCGTGAGAGAGTTTTACGTCCTTCCGTTTCAATCCAATACAAATAATACCTGAGAGTGAACATTTTTATTACATTGACCTGTGTAAGATACACTTACATAAGTAATAAATAGACTTACTGATATAAGAATAACCACACAAAAAAGTAATATACTTGGCAAAGGGAATAGGGAAAACAAAGTAAATGCAGGACCATTGAAACCATGTGTGTACACCGAGATCTGTGAATTCTTACTCTATATTCATGACTTCCTGAAATACACAAACAGCTCAATCAGTTTATCAGCAGAGATGTATTAGCTTTAGACTGTTTGCCGTTCAAACAGTTTACCCAAACAGTTGATCTGTCTTGTTTGATGTGCGATGTGTTTATTTCAGTGGTGGCGACCTGCTTCATTAATCCTCTCACTGTCTTTATCATGCAAACGTTTCTCCAAGCACGCAGCAGCAGCTGAGCATCGTCTGGGTCTTGGGAGAAGACCTGGTCTTTAAAGCTGTTAAAAGGCGCCCCATTAACACAGCAATGCAGCATCACTGATAGTCTGAATTTGGTTTCCTTTGAAGTGAAGAAGTAGACAGAATCAAGGACAAAACAGTCTGACATGTGTCCCTATAAGAGCCTAAATGATGTGTGAATTCCTTGTGCTTTTGTGACAAACAAATTTGTATATTGGGACAACAAACGGGCCATATTCGTCATCAGCATTGTGCCTATTTATTGGGGTCAACCACAGAAAACAATCAATTGTATTGTAATTGTATGTGAGTATCAGGGTTCACATATTTTGTGTCTTTATGCCAGTGTATCTGTCAATAACATAAATGAGTTTCTTCTTCTTATTTGCTCTTTTTACCTTAAATATGGCAAAATCAGAGAGTAGCAATGTAAATCTCTTATGACGGTTCCTTTTCATGCCTTGGCTGCTCTTCTGATTGGGGCTCTTCACTCTTCAGCCTCATTATCATTGCTATGGAGGGGATCCTAATGATTTGTATATCTGTAGTGCAGTGACACAGCTGAGTTTCAATCATGACAGGTTCCGTCTGTGCAGCTATTGACAGGAAATGACAGAATTGTGTTTATTATTTTTATATTTTACGTCTTATTGTCAGCGAGGTACATTTACTCTCCAAGTTCTCATTTCACAGTCTGACACATTTTGTACAACATGTTATTGTAGGTAAAGCATCACAATAGCTGAGTCTCCATCTCTCTGAGATACCTCGAAATTGAAATTAGCAGCAACTTTCATATTGTTGATTTTATGCATTTTGGGGGGCTAAATTTTGTGAATGTGCTAAAAGTTTTAAAAAGTTGACTATAGTCTTGTGGCCAGCGCCACCTTTCAGAAATCTGAACATAAATATCCTTTTCTTTTTCTGTTCAGATAGGAAGCTTATTGAGTTGTAGACATCAGTGTTCTGGGGATGACAATCACCATAAACTCTGCACTGTTGACCCCCCTCAGACGCACTCTCAGCCCTGGTGGGAATGTTATTCTGGTGATGTCTTTGTGAGGATGATGAGATGGAAACAACTCACGGCTGGATCGTGGAGCAGCCTCGCTCTTTATACACCTTGGCGTTGATGCTGAGGATCCCCTGCCCCTCCCCTGGAGATCAGAGGAGAATCTGATAATAGGCTGCTATCTGTGCGTCATGGCCACACCGAGAGAGCAGCGGTGAAAGCGGGAGTGCGCCTCTCCGCGCTGATCAGTCCTCCTCCACATGGCTCAAGCTATACTTTTTACTCCCTCCTCAACCAGAAACACAACATGATGCCCTGCTAGTGTGGGCTCTGTTCCGCATGTTATTTTGCGCGCTGATTTTGCTTAAAAAAAAATTTTCCGCTCATTTTCTTGCGTCTTGAATTTGACTTTTAAACGGAAACAAGAGGAAAATCGCTTGGTAAGTTTATATTTTCGATATATATATGAATTTATATATGAATGTGACGTTTTTATGTCATTGCCATATAAAACATATGTTTCATTTATTATTGTAATAAATAAGAAATTAAAACATTGTCTCCCAAAAAATGAATCTAGCCTTTGGAATAATTTAAGCCCCATTTATTCATTTTATAAGTAGATTTATTTTTTATTATCAGTATTATTTTGTTGGACAGGATCATTTACATTTATTTGTTGTCGTTTCTAACATCGATCTGTCTGATCTGAGAAACATCACAGGTTTCTTCAAACGGAAAAATAATTGGCTATTTCCCTTTTTCACGTCGGGTATCCCGGTGGGACACAGAGCCGCATCAGAATTGAATGAATGCAAATTCATTAACTCTGAATAATAATATACGATTAACAGCACCCCGTTTATTTCTCATAAAGTAACATGTTTTTCTTATTTTTCTTCCATAAATAAATATCTGTTAAAACAAATGCACTGCTATCATAATAACATTTCGGGTTTCGTTTTCCACAGACGTGTTATAAAGCAAAAATAGCACTATTTGTTTCCACCGAAAAAATTGCGGTTTCCATCAGATTATCCCAAAATATGTCACGAATATCTAGACTCGTGGGTGAGCTTTCACTTCAGGTTTACACCACGAAACTACCGCCCCAAAAATATGTGCTCTACTTAAAGTTTGTCATATGATTTACAAGAAACTGTCTCTCACCTCCAGGCTGATCGCCTCCAATATTAAGGTATCCAAATAAAGTGAAGTCACCACTTCACCTAATTTATTTCTAATCGATTCAGGTCAGCTATATTACAGTTTTCTTATGTTTGTATGTGAACTATTGGCCTTAGTCTCGTGGCGTTTCTAGCATCTGCTCATGCATTTTACATCTTAAAAAAAAAGAAACAAACACAGTGCCTTATTTTATTACACTGAATTTAATATAGGCCAATATTTCCGATCAATATTATTTTAAAACAGAAAATTGTTAGGGTTAACAGAGGGGTAGGAACACCTATTAGAAAGAATTATTTTTATGTTGCAGGAAAAGTCACTGTGTTTGCGTGTACGTGCAAGTTGCCACTTCACACTTGGTTTCAGGCCTTGTAAGTGAAGGTGAATCAGGTAGCCCACTGACTACAGATGCAGCCTGTACTCTGGGCTGATCTTCACTATAAGTTGTTTCTGTCTCTTTATCTCAGACTTCAGTTTAGAAGAAGTTTATCCCAGAAGACACCTGGCATAAAACTGTCCTCCTGAGGGGGAAGAAGACCCCCGAAAAAGAGCAACTGAGATCAAAGAAGGAAATCAAGCACTGTGAGCAGAGACCAGAGAAGCCGTCATGCTCGGCGGTGAGGGGGAGAGTAGTACATTCACTGCTACCAAGGACGCAGCGGATGAGAGGCGCAAGTCTCCGGCTGTGGATGGAGACGACCCGACAGCCGGCAGCAGGTACACGGAGCACGGGATGGGTGCTGACCGGTACTACATCCCTCCTGCGGTTTCTAAACAAAGCCCAGACACACCGAACCCCTGCTCTTTTATCCCTTACACCCCCAGTGGGACGGTTTACACCCCGTCCAGCGCCAGCAGGTACCCGTCATCTCTACACCTGGGCTCCGTGTTGCCTCCCGCGGGGTTTCCTCCCTCCACCACTGGCCGCGGTCACTTCAGCCCGGCTTACCAGTTCGGCCAGAGCCCCGGCTGTATATATCCGCCCTACACTAGCTCAGGGTCGGCTCTGAGCAACATAACTCTACCCACCGCCGGCCCGGGGATGAGGGCCCAGGTGTACCTGTGCAACCGGCCGCTGTGGCTCAAGTTCCACCGGCACCAGACCGAGATGATCATCACCAAGCAGGGCAGGTGAGATGGAGAGGATACTTCACCCAGACACAGTTATTGTGATTTTCATATACATATATATATTATTTTTCATTTAATTTTTTTTCATTGTTCTGTAATAGGCTCTTTCAATGCCGTCTATAATCATTTTGATTTTATTTTGTGTTTGTAGAAGGATGTTCCCGTTCCTCAGTTTTAACATCGCTGGTCTCAACCTGACAGCGCACTACAACGTGTTTGTGGAGGTGGTGCTGGCAGATCCAAACCACTGGAGATTTCAAGGTGGCAAATGGGTCACCTGTGGGAAGGCGGACAACAGCAGCCAAGGTACTGAGACTGATCGATATTTGACAATTTTAACTTTTCATTTTGATGGATGCTGAGTCGATGTTGGGATTAAAATTGAAGGGGTAACCATATCCCGTCGATTAAAAATGAATATAACTGAAATTTACAATGGTAAGATTTTCTATTTGCAAGAATAAAACATTTTTTTTGTAAAAATAAGGCTTGTTTTAGAAGTCTTAAAACTATACCCTTAGAAATTTAGATGTGCCATTTGTTTTTGTTTTCAATGCATATATTACTAAATGGTTTACTTGTTTTTAGCTCCTGCAGTTTGATATTGAAAAAAATATATTTTTAATTTTATTTCAGGGAACAAAGTCTACATCCACCCAGAGTCTCCAAATACAGGGGCCCACTGGATGAGACAAGAAATCTCCTTCAGCAAACTGAAACTCACGAACAACAAAGGAACCAATCACAATACTTCACAGGTATGTTAAACTAATAAATTATTAAGCCTGAACTAACATCTTTAACAGTCGACGAAGATTTAAATAAATTGCATTAGTAACATTTTTTTTTTTGCATTTAAGTGTCATAAATTGTTTCAGAGCCGCTATGTATTTCTAATATAGCCAGCAGTAAAATAACTACCCCAATAAATAATGCGTATAGACAAGGTTAAAGCGCACCAGTCATAGTTTTTATGAAAATCTTTTAAAACATTTATATATATATATATATATATATATATATGTATACACATATATATATGTGTGTATATATATATATATATATATATGAAAAGAATAAAACATATTATACTCACTTTGAAGGGAAATCGCATTACTTCATTAGGCCAAACCACTCTAAAAAAAAATCTTATTTTTTATTCATTTTGTTTTTATTTATTTGCACAAATTGTAGTAATTGTAGTGATTTAACGATCTTGTGATCTTCATATGCAGATGATTGTCCTGCAATCGCTGCATAAGTACCAGCCCAGGCTGCACATCGTTGAGGTGACTGAGGATGGTGTGGAGGACATTAACAATGACCTTAAGACTCAGAGCTTCACATTTCCAGAGACCCAATACATAGCTGTGACAGCCTACCAGAACACTGATGTAAGCATGAAACATGAAACCTTCCTCTTTCCTTCTCTTCTATAATATGGCTTTTGAGCTGAACACTGTTTTTATGATTATACACTCAGACCAATACCCCTGGTGTGTAAGAATGAAGTAGCAATTTCTAATTTTACTCTATCTGCTATTTCCTTGTTAAGTTTGATATGCATGGGTAACTTCATGATGCTTCTTTATATTTGTTCTCTCTTTATCTTCACATATTAATATGAAGCTCTTTCATTTTCCTTTGTTTTAGATTACACAGCTGAAAATTGATCACAACCCTTTTGCCAAAGGATTCAGAGATAATTATGATTCGTGAGTATTTTACTTCATTGCCATGCATTGCTCACCAGCTATAAAGTGCATAAATAATACAGATATACATTGAATTATGTTTTAGTACATCAGCTGTCTCAATCTGTTGTCATTTTGTCTGTAAATATACCAATTTAGGATGTGTTTTTTCATATGCATGTGCTAACTCAGTTTGAAACATGTTTTCACCATGATTTTTTTTCACCCAGATACTGCCCTTCCTTGACGTCAAGTTCATATGTACCTGTATTTTCCAGGATGTACACAGCTCCAGAGAATGACCGCCTAACCCCCTCTCCGACTGACTCTCCCCGTGCCCACCAGATTGTCCCCGGGGCCCGCTACGCCATGCAGCCCCTCTTTCAGGACCAATTTGTCAACAACCTTCCCCAGAATCGTTTCTACAACAGCGAGAGAGCAGTGCCGCAGACTAACAGCCTCCTCTCACCTCAGACAGAAGATGGAGCTTCACAGAGGTGGTTTGTCACCTCCATGCAGCAAGGGGGAAACGGCACTAGCACCAGCAACAAACTAGATCTGACACCCTATGAAGGGGAATACTCAAGCTCCCTTCTACCTTATGGTATCAAATCCCTGTCCATGCCAACATCTCACGCTCTCAGCTACTACCCAGACTCTCCTTTCACCACCATGTCTGCAGGGTGGGGGTCCAGAGCACCATACCAGAGAAAGGTTACTCCCAGCCTGCCTTGGTCTCCCAGGCCCAGTCCCACTACTGGTTTCCCAGAAGACTCAAACAAAGTTAAAGCACAAATAGAAGAGGAGGTGGTCGGCAGTGGAAGCCTGATCTCTTCCTGGACAGAGACACAGCCATCAGCTCTGTCCCTAGACAAGGCTGATTCTTATTCCACGGCCTGCAAACGAAGGCGTTTGTCTCTCAATGGTCCCAGCACAGAGGACTCACCCTCTGACATCAAGTGTGAGGACTTGGCCTCTGCTGCCACTGACAGCTCCTATAGCAAAGAAGCCCCCTCATCCAAAGGCATGGCAGCTTACTATTCCTTTTACACAAACCCTTGAATGCTTTGTTTCTCTTTTTGCCATTTTGGTTGTTCTTCACCTGCCACCATGAATAAAAAGTTTGCTTTTTTGTCATGTGCACACCCTGATTTTGTCTTGGTGGTGATAAATGTGGTAGTATATTTCTTCCTTTTGTGGTGACACAGGAACTATAAAAGATACAAATAATGAAATAATAATGACGTTAAAGGTCAGGGGGCATGTAAGACACAATAAACATCAGCATCCTGAGATGCTGTCATAATTTCTGTCTTCAATCCATCTATTTTCCTGGAATATTTATTTATTCCACCACCCTTTTTATGTAACTGTATTTGAAATTTTGAAAGTGCCAAAGCAGTTGCTCCACTTTTTTTTTTTTTTTAAAGCAGTGTTCTGTATGTTTCATTGTGCATACATTACTGTATCTGCCTTTACACTGAGGTTATGTGTTTACAGATTATTTATTGAAAGCCTGTTGATATGAAATTGGTGCACTCATAAATGTTATGATAATATGCTGTATATACCTTCATTGCAATGTTCAGATATTTGATAATAAAAAGGCATATGTGTTCTATTGAGTATCTGGGTGGTCATTTCAAGTTATGACACCTCTGTCCCTGTTTACCTTATATATGATGATACTGTTTACATTCAATATATAAATTTGTTTTTGATATATGAATGTACCAGTTAATGATTGACTGTAATTACCAGCAGGGTCATGTCTGATGCTCATAGGCTTTACAATTTAATTGGTTAATTGCATATAAGAACCACCACATATAGGAATGTGATGGAGGATGAAGTACCTTAAAATCAGCCGACCCACCTTTAAGACTTTACATTTAATTAATAAAGGCTACTATAAGTGCAACGCCAAAACCGATTCATGTCATGTTAAGACTGGGCTGCTCAGGGGACAGAAAGCAAATAAAACACAACTTCCTGCCCATCCAAAAGCGCCATTTGTTTCTGTGGACTCTGTCGCACTCTAGTGGAATTTTATTGCACTCACAGTTAAACCAATGACTACAGCAGCCTGTTGAGTTGAGTGGATACTGACCTCATGTGACTTAAGGTTTAATTACACTTCCATTTTATCCCATGGTTGGACCATGAAAGCCAAAAAGTGAAGAGCTGGACCCTTTCTCCTTTTTTATTTAGTTAGTTATCAATTAAACATATACAAACATATAAAAAATAACTTACATAAGTGATACCAATCAGTTATAATGAATCAAGCAAACAGGAACATAGATGCCAGGGGACAGTATACATATAGGCTACATATACAATTACACAGCCAGATGACAATATTCATTCACACAAATACATTAAAAGAGGCCCACAGATTCATAGTCTAATTATCCGTCTTGTTTCTGGAGGAGAAAATGTTTTTTTTATGTATTGATTGGTTTAATTTCCAAATGTAATAAATGAGGCGTTACCTCTATTAAAATTGGAGTTTGTGAATTTTGCCAAAATATTGATTAGGTTAATAATATACTGTTGTTTGAGTTTATTGCCATTACATTTATTGAAACAGAACAAAATAGTCTTTGGGCAAAAAGTGAAATCACAGTCAATGTTATCAATAACAAATCCACTCAGCTCTCTCCAAAGCCTTTCAGTATGGGCACAGTGCCAGAACAGATGAAGAAGTGTTGCTGTGGGCCTGCTGTACAGACTATTTTGATGGATCACATTTCTTTCCTGGCCATGGGAACCTGTAGATTTGACACACAGGTTGAATACTATAGGCTTATATGTCCGTCATTATGATATACTGCACCACAAATATGCACAATTCTAATGCTGAAAACAAAATAGAATATAAATAGAAATACCAGGACAAAGTAACAATAACAAAACAAAAAAAAACATGCACGTAGTTGGTCATATCTCAGAAATATTGTAACATTAGGAAAACGGGTTATTTCTCTTTCCGCTTGTTTGGGTGTTTTTGCTGAAACCTGGCAACCCGTCCAGGAGGCAGCCAGCAGAGAGTCAACGAAGAGTTGACAGGAACAACATCACTGCTGTGTGCTGCACACATTATTTATGGATTACCTCACTAACAAGAAAACCCTCCGTTAACTGCGCTAGCGAGTGACAGCAAATTCACAAGCTCGGGGCTACACCAGCGACATGAACCGTCTGTGTAAGTCGGAATACTTGTTACTTATTGTTTACTGTGAGTTTATCAACTGTGCTAGCTAAGTTGGCTAGCGCGCGGTTAGCTTGCTAGCAGATCCGCTAGCGTATGCACTGACGTTAGCCAACGCAGATGCTAGCGTCATGTTGTTTTTATCTTTTTGAATAACACCCAGCTAGCAAGGAATGTTGTGTATTGTGGTTAACACCAGCCCTTTTATCAAGCGGAATAGTTTGCAGCTAACGTTATCTAAGGTCAGTTGATTGGTGAATGATTACATTAATCAGAAATGTAACAGAGCGTTATCGCGGACTGTTCATTAACACAACACACCGCCGTCGGTGTGAGCTAGCGAAAATGGTAAACACCACACAACATGGGGAAAGGCCTGCATGAAGGAGTTTAGTGACAAGTGGCACGCTACGCAGACAAACTGTTATGTTTTTATAGCCTTAGCTGCTTTTGTTCTACAGCTCGATGTTGGCTGGCGCTGTCATGGAGGAGTGTTGTTAACAATTGTCGGGCGGTAATTAAACAGTTATAATGTGGAGCGTAACCTCATCGAGTAGTATGTGTCACCATTTATGAGATATCTAACTCTGTTCAAAGGGCAGGTGTTGACAAGTGTTCACCAAGGTGAGACATAGTTTGTCTTGCTTTCTGACTGTGTGTGGTTTTGAGGGTGTCTGTCCTCACATGGCACAAGCTTGACACAGATGTAGTGCAGCAAGTCACGTTAACATGTGTCATCTGCCTTCAGTGATGTATAATCAATATGCAAACATGTTAGTGGTATGTGTAAGATATGGTGTTAACGGTATTTGATTGCATGGGTCCTGTTTTGCAAGGGTGGCTGCAGATTGTCCTGTCCTAATAATGGCAGCTGACCAACATTTCAATAAGTGTACAGTAAGTAGTTATTTAGGTTGGCAGGATAAAGAGTAAATGGTCAGTCATGCATGTAGACTGATTATTACAAGTGGGTTACAAAGAGTGAGGAGGAGTCAAAGTCCTGTCCCACGAAGGTCCAGCCTTTGCTCCATTGCCTCCATTCCACAATGGATGTTTTCATGGAGGGTGTGACTCATAAGTCTTCCTAAAAAACTGAATAAGTGAAAGTATGATTAAATTATGTGTGCACGTCATAACTTTACTAAACTTACTTTTACCACATATGTACGCTGTTGCCAATTTGTACACCCAGCTAAAACGTAAGTGCTGCAGTTAATCTTACTTTTGTTATACTGACAGGTGTTTCTATTATTTTGTTAACCCCATTTATATTAGTGAGGGTAGGCAAAATAATAGAAACACCTCTGTCCATGATGCAGTGCAGTTCAGCAGCACCACAGACTACATTCTCCAAAAGTATTGTCAGATTGAACCAACACTTCCAAAACATTGTGGGAAATACAAACTGAACATTATAACCATCATAAAGGTAGGGTTTATTGAATGACTCTAGACTGCATTAGTTTTAACCAGGTATATTGAATGAAGCGGTAACTGAGTGTACCTATTATTTTGGTAAAATTAAATAAGTAAACTTATAACATTTGTATGCATGTATAGGGTTTTTACTTTAGTAGTGTTTGAATATGACATTAAAAATTCCCCAAATCACAATAAATAATACTTTGTAATGGAAAACAGTTATAAAATTTTCCTTTTTCCATTTCTATTTCTGTCACACACAGTTGCTTATGTAGTTTAAGTTGATATTTTGTAACGATTGGATTAGATTAGATTAGTTCATCCACAATCTTGACTCTCTAAGCTGCGGAAAATAATCAACTGTCCTGTAAATGGAATGTTGAAATTTGCATACCATTTCCTTTGTCATTGTTGCTAACCTATGGAGAGTTAGGCATATGCTATGTATACTTAGAAGGTTTTCAGGAAGCATTTTTTCCCTCTATTGTGTGCACAAGTTGCTTACACCAAGACATTATTGTGCTGAAGGATTTGCAGGGTGGTGAGAATTGAGTATGAATTATTTCTAGCATCATGAAGTAGAATATGTTGTGCTGACGGAGATAACGTGTTTTGTCGATTTGTGCTGTAGCTCACCAAAAAACCCATACAAGCATTGCACTGCACAAACAGTCACGACCATATGGTGCTCTGGTGGAAGCGAAATGCTGACTTGCTGCGTGTTGTTCTTCAGTTGAGGATATCTTGCTTCACAATGACTCCTGGCCTCAGTGGGATGGGCAGCATTGGCACGGCGAGGCGGAAGCTCCTGGTGATGCTAGAGGAAGTCTTGTCTTTCTCTCTGTGTGAGCTTTGTTGGCACCATGTTTAGTTATGCAAAACAAAAAATAAAAAGAGAAACACAAGGAGGTGGTTTACAGTGCTGTGGTGATGCTGACACAGGGGCTTGTGGCAGAGCAGTCTGGGCAACCTTGGAGATGCACCTCTCGTCCTTGTGATTCAGACGGAGTGGAAGTGATTAATACTCACCATTTTTTAGTTGACAAGGCCTTGTTGGATTCAGACACATCCATAAAGGAATTAAACTTCTGTTTTTCTTCTTCTCTTCAGGACATTCAGTATGCTGGCCTATTGGACTTGAACAGGTTGAAGACGACTAAAGAGGCTGCCGTGTCAGTCAGAGCTTGAACCTACGGTAGGGGAAGAGATGGGAAACACAGCGACAAAGTTCCGCAAGGCTCTCATCAATGGGGATGAGATGCTGGCCTGCCAACTGTACGAGAGCAACCCGCAGTTCAAGGAGGCTCTGGATCCCAACGCTACATATGGAGAGTCCTACCAGCACAACACTCCACTACACTATGCTGCCCGGCACGCTATGACACGCCTACTCAGGTTAGGATACAGTTCTGACAAAATCAGACAATCATGCAGACAGATATAATGTACACATTCACAGTCAGTGGCTGCTGTCAGTAGGAGAAAAAGGATATCTCAGGGCTGACAGATGAGGGACTCATTTGCTATGCTCTAGATTTTTGATATGCTGCAGTTTATTAATTAATTACATTAGCAAGTGTCCTTTGAGCACTTCTGTTATTCTGCAGCACTCTGTTGCTAATCAGCTGGTCCCATCTAGTACTGTACTGTTGCATCGTCGGAGAAAATTTTTCATGTTTTGTCTCTATACGTCTTTGTCCCATCTGTCTCTCCACATAGCCATCTGTTCACAGCTCTCAGGAATGCAACATGCTGGGACGGAATAGGATGGGGCTCCAAGAGCTTCCCATCCCGCAAGCTACCAACCTTGCATGTGTTCATCTTTACTCCTCTCAGGCCCTGTTGTTTTTTCCGCTAATAGATGTTTGCTCAAAAAGTGGCAAAGTCAAGCGGAATCAAAACATACTGAATACTAAATAGTTAGCTGGTGAAATATAAATTCTGGATTCTATATGAAGCATCATAATTAAGAATCTTTGACTAATTAACT